TTTAAAGGAATTGTAGCCCTTTGAGTTGGCTTTTTATTGTATTTTGAATCCACTCAAACAGACATTGGAAGAGAAAGTTATTATAAAATACTAACAATTGCTCACCAATTGCTCACCTATCGCTTGTCTAGAGTTCGAGCAATGGTGTTACATGTGTAACCTTATTTCGCACTTTTCAAGAGTTTTATCTGGCCCATACTACCTAATTATCTCTTACTATAAATACCCAAGCCCTTATATATTTTGTTTGTGGTTGTTCATATATTACCTTTTCATAATATCATTCCGAGATCCAAGAATAAGATTACTAAAGATTGAGGAAGGTCAGACCAAAAGAACGGAAGAGTACAAAATAGCGTGTTCTTGATGATTCACAGGAGATAGACGATTTCAAAAAATCGTGAACAGATGTGAGTGAAGCACAATATCAAAAGATCAGGAGATTATTAGCTTGGTCCTAAAGTTTTTACTCAGTTAGGTTTTCTCCATCAACATATTTTGTGTTGTTTATCGCTTTCATACCATTGATTGTGGCATTCAAACTATAGAATAATCTGATGTGATTAATTAACTATCTAGAAACAATTAAAAAGTGACTTGTTTCTTTTATTATATAATTCCTAACATTGGGTCAAAATAAATTAGCTAAATCTAAACATTCAAGTGGTATAAGAGCTTGTCACTCATGGAAATGATATTTATACTCATTTTACAATATTATTTGTTAGTGCTCCAATACACTTGTTCAACTTGACAGGGCATTGTCCAACATATTTTAAAAGCAGTAAATATAAAAGTGGGAAAAATATTTTTCCCTCATTTCAACGCACACAAATAGAAGAAAATTATTATAAAGGACAAGAAGCGTAAATTAATAAAGGTTTAAAGAAAAGAACTCAATGAAAAAAAGATAGGAACATAAGTTCTACAATGAGCATTGATCGAAGAATTCAAATGCAATCAAAGTGTAATGTAACAAGTAAAAATACAATGTAAATATAATTATCTGGTATAGAATCATTTGAAAATTTTTGGATTCAATTTTTTTATGGAGCCATGCCAAAAAATATTATTTAATTGTTGGAGGTTGTTAAAGTTATTTACAATCAAATTGAAAGTTCCCAATATTGCTTATTTGGCAATAAATTTTTTTAACACTTGTTCCACGTAGCTATGACTATGCTTCTATGTTATGAAAGCATTAAAATTAAAAGGAAAAAGTGTTAACATCATTGTTCTGCCAAGTACCATCCACACGCTTTCTAGCAACTCACACCACCAAGCCCTGCTAGTCCACTACTAAAAATTCCAAATACATACCACTTTTTGACAAGATCATGTGCCCTAGTCTTACATGTTACGAATAGAAACACAAATTGCTTGTAATGAAGAATATGACAAAATTAAAAAAATAAAAAATAAATAAAATGAAGAAGCTAAAATGATAGGATATTCTAGGAAATGTTGACCTCCCAAATGCTGATTTTCGAGGAACAATAAACCTCGAAAGACTAAAAGTACATTTACAGAAATAATTGATCCCCCTTTCTTCATTCTTTATTTGAATTTAAATATGAAAATATTGTACCAATTATCTTCTAAAATCAAGAACCATTTCAAAAATAAGAAAATATAAAATTAAAACCTGAAAATAAAGAAATAAAATAAATTACAAATATAGAAATGTATAATCTTCTTCCTCCGAGAGTTTTGCAATTCACCGTAATTGCAAGAAAATATAAAACCCATTTGACGAAAACCGATAAAAGGACCCAGAGCCAAAAATAAAATATATGGAATTAAAAGTTCAATCGTTCATCCAAGCATTTCACTTGATATCACTTCATAAAAAAAATTAAATAAATCGTTTTTCCAACACTTTGTTAGGTATATCATATGAAGTTAGATAATTTTTAATTTCCTGGATTAATATGTTATTGAAAGTTCAATTCTTTCTGCTTACGGGCCATGCATGGACTTTCACTTTATATATGAAAAAGTCATCACCTAATAATACTATTTTTCCCCACAAATAACTTGAAAATAATATGCACTAAGGATAATTCAAGAAGCATGGCTAATACCAAAGTCGGCATCCTTACTATCTTTTTAATCTGTGGTAGTTAAGCAGTCATCTCTAGGGGCGGACGTAGACATTTTGAATTAGGGGGTACAGTCAAACCTTATATAGATTGAATATTTTGTTCTTGATTTTTAAATAATTTATACTTAACTTGAGAAAATGCAGAACTAAGTTTAAAAACACATTCCTCCATCAATATTTTGTTCATCGTTTTAATCCATTTGAATTCGAACAGTCTTTTCATTAATATTTTGCTCATCACAAGAAAATACGTGTTTACATTTAAAGAATTTATAGTGTATTTGATACAAACAATCCGTTCAAGTAATAAAAAGAGAAAAAAAAACATATAATCAATATTCATTACTAATATTCAATCAAATAAATACAATTTGTTAAATATAAGTCAAGATGGACATAATTTATTTAAGGCTCATTCAAAATACACAATTTGATAGGAGAAAATGTAAATTTAAGCTCAAAATATGATTAGGAAGTGAAGTAAATTTCTTAATTTGTCGAGAAATTATAAACAAATTTTAAAAAATTAGAAGAGTTAAGGTTTTGATAGTATAAGGGAAAGTGAAAAAGTTCAAATTTATTGTGATTTTGTCCTTATTTGATGGAGATTAAAATCAAATTTATTGTAAATTTTGATAGAAGTTGAAATTTTTTTAGTCCCATGAAATATGTTATTAAAATTAATTGTTAATTTTTATTTATATTAAAATTTATATTTTAAGTCAACAATCATGGTTTTATTTGAATATACAGATATAAATATATTCTTGTGTGTCACGTGACCCCCCAAAACCCCCCTTCTATCTGCCCTTGGTCATCTCTTACCCATTGATAAATCTTGTGTGTTTTGATCTTCATGTACAGAGAAGCGTGCAAGGTAATAAATAAGTTACTCGTGCATGTAACATATTAAGGTTTTGCATAAATTTAACATACTAAGATCGTGAATTTATTAAGATCTTCTTGTAAAGGGAAGCGGGGAATATATTTTGTATGTAATATTGAATAAAACTAATTAGTTTAATCAACAAGCTATCAACTTCTTTTTATTTTTAACTATCAAGTTCTTCCACTTATAAGTTATTCTTTTCTTCGTTCGTTTGGATTCTAAAGAGACATTGCACTACTATAAGTAATGCTATTAAGTTGAAGCGTGACATACACATGATTTTCTCATACATGCATCATGAATTTTGCCTAAGTTTTCTTTGACCATGTTTTATACGCGAACCATAGAATAATCTGATGTGATTAATTAACCATTTAGAAACAATTAAAAATTAACTCGTTGCTTTTAATTGTATAATTCTTCATCTTGAGTCTAAATAATTTAGATAAATCTAAATTTTCAAGTGATATAAGAGATTTTAACTCATGGAAATGATATTTATACTCATTTTACAATATTATTTGTTAATGATCTAGTACGCTTATTTGTTTTGACAAAGCATTGTCCAGTATATTGTAAAAGCACTAAATATATAACCGGGAAAATTAATTTTCCCTCATTTCAACGAACACAAATAGAAGAAAAAGTATTATAAAGGATGAGACGTACTAATAAATAGAGGATTGAAGAAAAGAACTCAACGAAAAAATGATAGGAACATAAGTTCTACAATGAGCAAAGATCGAAGAATTTAAATGCAATCAAAGTGAGATTTAACAAGTAAAAATATAGTGCAAATATAATTATCCGGAATAGAATCGTTTGAAAATTCTCGGATTTAATTTTTTCCCTGGAGCCATGACAAAAAATATTATTGAGTTGTCAGAGGTTGTTAAGCTATTTACAATCAAATTGAAAGTTTCAAATATTGCTTATTTGGCAATACAAAATCTTAACACTTGTTTCACATAGTTATGACCGTGCTTCTACCAAGTACCATCGACACGCTTTCTAGCAACTCACACCACCAAGCCCTGCTAGTCCACTACTAAAAATTCCAAATACATAGCACTTTTCGCCAAGATCATACACCTTAGCCCTCTTAAATATTACGAACAGAATCACAAATTGCTCGTAATGAAGAATATAACAAAATAAAAAAGAACAGCTAAAATGATAGGATAGTTCTAGGAAATCTTGACCTCTCAAATACTGATTTTCGAGGAACAATAAACCTCCAAAGACTAAAAATACATACACAGAAATAATTGATCCCCCTTACTTCATTCTTTATTTGAATTTAAATATGAAAAAATCGTACCCAATATCTTCTAAAATCAAGAACCATTTCAAAAATAAGAAAATGTAAAATAAAAAATATAGAAATGTACAATCTTCTTCATCCAAGAGTTTTGCAATGCACCATAGTTGCTAGAAAATAGAAAATCTGTTTGACCAAAACTGATAGTAAAAGGATCTAGCGCCCAAAAAAAAAAAAAAAAAAAAAAAAAAAAAAAGAAAAGGATCTAGAGACCAAAAAAAAAAAAAAAGGAATAAAATGCAATTAGAAGTTCAATCGTTCATCCATGTATTTTACTTGATATCACTTGATAAAAAAATAAAAAAATAAAAAAATAATAAATAATAAATAATAAATAAATCGTTTTTCGACAACTTCGTTATGTATATCATTAAAATATATATATATATATATATATATATATATTGTAATTTCAAGGTTGATCATTCATCCATGCATTTTACTTAATATCACTTGATAAAAAAAATTAAATAAATCGTTTTCCGACACTTCGTTAGGTATATCATTTTAACTTAGATAATCTTTAATTTTCTGGATTAAAATGTTTTTGTAAGTTCAATTGGCTTTTGCTTACGGACCATGCATGGACTTTCTCTTTATATATGAAAATTTCATCATCTAATAACACTCTTTTTCCCTATAAATAACTCTAAATAATCTGCAATAAGCATAATTCAGGAAGCATGGCAAATAGCAAAGTCAGCATCCTTACTCTCCTTTTAATCTGTGGTATGTTCTAATTGCTTCTCTTTTTTGGCTTTCAAGAATTATGCCAACTTGTACAATTTACAGATCAAATATGATTTCTATGACGGTCAAGAGACGAATGATTTATGCACTTTTTTAGAAACCTATATCCACTGAATTTTGACACTTCTTCGATGGCCATGTATTTAACCATTGTGAAACAATTTTTCGAAAATATAGTAAATTAGTAATACTGATTTTATATTAATAGTTAAGCAGTCATCCGTCACCCAATGATAAATATTGTGTGTTTGATCTTCATGTACAGAGAAACGTAGAAGGTAATAAATAAATTACTATTGCATATAATATATTAAGGTTTTGTATAAATATTTACATACTAAGATCAAGAATTTATTAAGATCTTCTTGTAAAGAGAAGCGTGGCACATATTTTGTACGCAATATTGAATAACACTGATTAGTGTAATCAACAAGCTATCAACTTCTTTTTCTTTTTAATTGTCAAGTTCTTCCACTTACGAGTGACTCTTTTCTTTATTCGTTTGTGGATTCTAAAGAGATTTTCACTACTATAAGTAATGAAATTAAGTTGAAGCATGACATATACATGATTTTCTCATAGCTGCAATTGAATTTTGTCTGATAAGTGTGTTTTTGCACACTTATTTAGATCACAAACATGATTTAATTACGAGCAGAATATTTGAATTGTGACTTAATCTCTTTGAATTCATGCAATGTAGGCGTTTCTATGAAAATGGTGGAATTCAGGAGAAAATAGCAGAAAAAGGACTAAAATGGAGCAAAGTGATAGTTCAGGGACTAAGATGCAAATATTCAAAAGTTGAACTAAAAGGCAACCCGGGAAAGCAACTATGCTAAGTATGAACTCGAAAGTGATACAAGATGATTGGATCTATGCGGTTGCATGGAGGCCTCCCAAGATTTTTTTCTCAAATTTTTTTACTCTATGCGACCACATAGAATGTACTATGCTGTCGCAAAGAACAAGTTCTGGGGCCGATCTGCAGTTTCCTCATACGACTGAAACTTTTTTGGTACCCTAATTTTCATGCGATATAAATACCAAAAGACATCCGGAAAGAAGTAGAACGTATTGGAGGCAGAAAAACACTTTTTGGAGAGGATTTTGAGCAGAAGAACGAAGATTTACACGAAGAGCTTCAAGATTTCATAACTTGGTGATGCCTTTTATCCAAAATCTGATGTATTCTTTTATTTTAACCATGTTAGGCTAGATTTTCATGTGCTAGGAGATCGATGTACCATGTAATTTGATTTTTAATTTTCTAGTTTTGCAATTTGACATTAAGACATATTCCTATTGTTTTGAATGATTTATATACAATTATTGTTTCCGCAATTAAGGGCCCGTAATTGTGTGAGTTTGGGTGATTTATTCTTGCATTCGAGAGAATTGGAATAAGTTCGATATTGTAACGCCCCGACCCCTAGTGGACTGAAACGCTACTTACTTTACTTAGCTTAACCGGTGGTTTAGTAACAAGTGTATACGTTTTAGTGGAAGCTTACATCTTCGGATAATAATTTAAATAACAATACTTTAAACAAAAACACTGAATCATTTTTCAAAACAACAAAATGTAATTTATTTGAAGAAACATAACTTGTTCTCGCATTCTGCATTATTCAAAATTTTAAAGAAATAACATTGGAAAACATTTCATAAAAATAAATCCAAATCACTTATTCACCAGATTTCTATGGCCTCGTTGCATCACTCTCCATCTTCTCCTCCATCCATGGCCGAGGTAGAATTCCTTCAATCTGTAGAGATGGGATTAAACCCGTGGGTTGAAAAACTTAATAGGTGTCATAGGTGCATTCATGATCAAGCTATACATTTTAAAACATTAACTTTATAACTTTTCATACATGCCGTACCCGGAGGCACCATTTGACATGAAGGGGTATGCCATATCCGAGGGTACCATTTGACATACAAACATTTCTTCAACATAGAGGGATATGCCGTATCGGAGTACCATTTGACATAAAACCATTAACATAGAGGGATATGGTATACCGGAGTACCATTTGACATACAAACATTAACATGAATCGAAACTTATAACTTAACACGATTAAACGCATTGCACCTCTACCTACTTTGATTGATACTTTTGAAACTTTGAAAACTTCGATGAAACTTGGACGTTGAAAGAAATGCACTCCATGGATGTTTGAAAACTTTTAAGAATTGATGCTTGAAGACACTCCTTGATAGCACCCAAAACTTTTATGAAAAATGCTTGAAAACACTTCTTAAACTTCTCGGAAAAATAGTTTTCCTCCCTCTCTTTTTCTCTCTTGGAAACTCTTTCTTTAGTATGTAAAAGCTCTTGCTTTTTATGTGAGAAAAAATGAATGAAATGAGGTCTCTATTTATAGGTAAATATCCCATAACTTAAAGCAAATAAAGGGTCAAATTTCATTTAAGAGAGAAAACATGGGTGCCATTTAAGTTTGAGGTTAAATGCTTCAATTTAGTGGGTTTTTATTGCCAAAAATTTGGGTGGCCCTTTGAGAAAATAATTGATGAAAATAAATATTTAAATTCTAGAGAAAAACGAGAATTTTCATTTCCGGTAGTTTCGGTCGACCGGTTGTAGTCCGGTTGACACTGTACAACTTTCAGTGTTTTTATCATAACTTCTTCTCCTGATATCCGATTGAGGTAATTCAAAGTGCATCAGAAAGAAAACTCAAAGAGCTATAACTTTTATTTAGATATCATTTTCCAAATGAAATGTTTCCTATGTCGAAAATGGGTCTCAAATGAGACTAAAAATCTGAAGTTTACTTTAGTCATCCAATATTCATGTCTTAGTGCCACTAAGGTGTCTAAAATTATTTGGGGTTCTACAGATGTAATATAAATCATCGTAGGTCCGATAGGGGATAAAAATATACCGCTATGCCTTACGTGAATCTTTTAGTGTTCATAAAACCGCATGTATTTTTACATATGCACTTGTCATAGAAATATAGATCGGTGGTATGTAGAAATAGGTTCGATACATCTCGAGAGAGAATATTGGATAGATTTAGGAACATTGATTCGTCACAATTGAAATATGTTCACATTGTGAAACTAGGGTTTTAAAGGCATAATTGCATGAGAAATCGTGATCCTAGTGTTTAATTTCTATTGATTACAACAAACTTGCATTCTCAATATTTGATTTCATTTTAGAGTGTTAAAAATATTTTTTTACATAGTTAATTTAATTCAATCATAAAATAAAAATTGTATAATTAGGGTTTTCTTTCCAAAATTAGGGTTTTAATTAGGTTTACATTCACTTTAATAATTTAGTTTCGATTAAGGCGACGATAGGTAAAATTGAACTAATCAATCTCTGTGGGACGATATTCAGACTCATTTAATCCACTTTATTACTTGTTAACAAATCGTACACTTGTGATAGTTTTAAATCAAAAGAAATAATTTCGTGAACAAGTTTTTGGCACCGCTGTCGGGGATTGAGTTTAGTTTAATTTTATTTCTCGAGACTCTAATTCGAACTTCAAATTTTATTTTGCTAGTATAATTTTGTTTTTATTTTTACTTTAGGTTATTATCCTTTATTTGTGTTTTAGTTATTTAAATTGTTTGAATCTCAGTGCTCGTAGTGGTTTTGTTTCTCAGATTTGCATGCCACGATCGACTAGAGGAGAATTGATTCTAGCTGATTCTGAAATCGAGCGCACCTTTCATCGACTACAAAGAGATCATCGAGAAGCACAAGTACAAATGGCTAATGAACTAAACAATCTCATTATTCAAGCTAATGAAGGAGAGGCAATGTACGGAGGAAATGAGATTCTGGGAGATTTTTTGACTCCTCAAGTAATTCAAAGTCAATCCAGTATAGTGTATCCACCGTTTGGCCAGCCAAATTTCTAGTTGAAGACCAATGTGATACAACTATTTCAAGATGGACACCAGTTTTATGGCAAAGCCGAGGAGAATCCACATACACACATATCGCGATTTTTGGATATGTGTCAACATTTCAGATACCAAGGGATTTCAGATGACACTATTAGGCTAAGGCTGTTTCCACATACACTACGAGATAGAGCACTTAAATAGTTGGATTCACTTCCGGTTACAAGTGTCACTACGTGGAACGTGTTGGCACACAAATTCTGCACAAAGTTTTTCTCCCCAGCCAAGATAGTGAAGCTGAAAATGACATATCAATATTCAGTCAAGGAGAAACCAAATCATTTGATGAAGCTTGGAACAGATTCAAAAACATGCTCCGGATGTGCCCTCAACATGGGTTTGATAAAAAGACCCAAATCCGATTCTTCTACATAGGGTTACTTCCATACCACAAGAGCATGGTAGATTCAGCGTCAGATGACTCAATATCCACATGAACAGTTGATGGGGCATTGGAATTATTTGAGAGAATGGCTACCACATCATCCATATGGTCTTCTGGGAGGGTGATTCCAAGGAAAACTCCGGGTGTCTACGAGGTGGATACTTATTTAGCAATATCTGCAAAAATTGATTCTTTGTATCACAATGTAGAAAGCATATCACAAGCAGACTATGCACAGTGGGGACAACGCCAACAACACAATCAATATGGAGAATCTTTCCATCCCAGTTGGAAGAAGCATCCTAACTTCTCTTGGAGCAACCAGAATCAAAATAGGCTCCCGGGACAATTTCAGCAATAAGAGAAGAGGCCTCAATTGGAAGATATGATAGGAAAATTCATGGAGAAAGCTGAAGCTACACTTCAAAATCAAAATGCAGCCATCAAAAATTTGGAAACTTAGATGGGGCAATTGGCCATCGTATTGACTGGTAGAACGTCAGGTAACTTGTCGAGTAATATAGAAATCAATCCCAAAGAGCAATCCAAGGCCATTACAACTCGAAATGGAGTACAATTGCCTGAAATCCATGTTAAGAGACCGGGTGTGATTGGAGAGACATCTTCCCCTACTGAA